AATAGTCGGTACTTCCAGAACGATCTCTCTCAAATTAAAAGCTATATTATATAATATTGTTATACAATTACAACAACATTGCTGCATAACAAATTGTAAGTAATTATTAGAGAATTGACGACGACATTATACACGTGACATAGTGCACTTGCCCCATGGGATAGAGTGAACTCAACGCACTGTAATAGATTTAAGGTGCCTACATGTATTTACATTTAATTATAACACATTGTGCTTACGTTTGAGGCTATACTATTTTAGTTATTACTGCCAACAAAATATGCAAGATCTCCTGGAGCCAAAAACAGAGACATCAACGAGGTGACGAAATTAACTTAGAATTTGTGTGTCTGGGAAACAATTGAAGTAAGAATTTAAGTTAATATGTCTTGAAGGTTGTACTTTAGTATTTGATAAAATCGGGCGTCAAATACTGAGTAACTGACAACTAAACTTTATAAACAACAGGTGATTGTTGTAATCAAGTCAGCGTGAAGGTGGGAAAACATCGAGTTAATTAACAGTTAAAGTATGGATATGAGGGATTTAGCAAGTTTATGATCCCCCGAGGCCAGGACTATTTCCCGAGGCGAAATACCGATACAAACACTCCTTTACAATATTCTAAATATCATTAGACAACATTTTCAAAAGTTGGGACACTTTATTAACTAAACCAAAATTTTCTTGAGAATCAGCATCAGAAAAAAACAGTATTTGCAATAACATGAAATAAAGGGTATCACATGTACAATAAAGAATAAATCACAGTTTTTGCTTGAAAATTAGCATTAACATAAATGCGAATTCTGAATTTGCCGGAAATTGCAGACATAATTCGATTGCGCTGATTAATCAATATTCGGTCAGGTCCCGACCACGACGTCACTCAATTTCCCGTATTTTCCGAGGGAAATAGTTTCAAAACTATCGCACCCCTCCAGACGAACTATTTCCCTGGCATGCAGTTAGAGGGGAAATAGCTTGTTTATGTGGTTACTTGTGTATAGTTAACAGTTAAAGTATAGGTATGAGGGATATAGCAAGTTTATGCTCCCCGAGGCCAGGACTATTCGCCTCGGGAAATAGTCCTGGCCTCGGGGGATCATAAACTTGCTATATCCCAAAATACCCATACTTCAACTGTTTTATTATACCGATACAAACACTCCTTTACAATATTCTAAATATTATTAGACAACATTTTCAAAAGTTGGGACACTTTATTAACAAAACCAAAATTTTCTTTAGAATCAACATCAGAAAAAAACAGTATTTGCAATAACATGAAATAAAGGATATTACATGTACAATAAAGAATAAATCACAGTTTTTGCTTGAAAATTAGCATTAATATAAATGCGAATTCTGAATTTGCCGGAAATTGCAGACATAATTCGATTGCGCTGATTAATCAATATTCGGTCAGGCCCCGACCACGACGTCACTCAATTTCCTGTATTTTCCGAGGGAAATATTTTCAAAACTATCGCACCCCTCCAGACGAACTATTTCCCTGGCATGCAGTTAGAGGGGAAATAGCTTGTTTATGTGGTTACTTTTGTATAGTTAACAGTTAAAGTATAGGTATGAGGGATATAGGAAGTTTATGATCCCCGAGGCCAGGACTATTTCCCGAGGCAAAGCCGAGGGAAATAATCCTAGACGAGGGGATCATAAACTTGCTATATCCCGAAATACCCATACTTCAACTGTTTTATTATATCGATACAAACACGTCCTTACAATATTCTAAATATTATTAGACAACAATAATTTGGAAGAACTAAAGAGTTGCACCAAAATAAAACAGAAAAGTTACCTGAAAAAGCAAACAAAAAATGGATAGCACAAATTCGCTAACGGATGCCTGTACAGTCTATTGCCTCCAATATGTCCGTTAACTCGCTCTCGTCCAACACAGAAAACCTGGGGTCGCCATTTCTGTTGTCGTCTGTCAACAACAATGCGAGGTGAAGGTCGGTCCAGAAAGTACCGGCTCCGCTGGTCGGAAATTGCCGACATAATTCGATTGCGCTGATTAATCAATATTCGGTCAGGCCCCGCCCACGACGTCACTCAATTTCCCGCATTTTCCGAGGGAAATAGTTTCAAAACTATCGCATCCCTCCAGACGAACTATTTTCCTGACATGCAGTTAGAGGGGAAATAGCTTGTTTATGTGGTTACTTTTGTATAGTGTAAAATTAAAATAAGTAGAGGTATAATAATGTAAAATAAGTAGTGGTATAATAATGACAAATGAACTTTTATAGAATAGTAATATTTTGTCTACGCTTTGGGGGAAAGACAGGAAAATCTCAACCCAAGGGGTAAGATTCTTAAATGTGTAGTGCGAGGCTTTGCCGAGGGCAAGACATTTTAGAATCTTACTCCGAGGGTTGAAATTTTTACGTGGGAAATGATCATTTTCTCCCAAATCAAACAGAAGTGATACTTTCATGAAATTTAAAACGTTGGTTTCATAATTTCCTGCAAATTGGAGTTATCTCCTGTGAACTGCTATGGTTGACGTGACGTTTTTGCATTGTAGACGCGACGTCAATGCATTGTTAACGTGACGTCATACAAATGCTATGGCAGGGGAAATTTTCCGTCTATACCCTAGGGTAAGACTAATAGAATCTATCCCTGATGTGAGGTATGGATTCTATTATTCTTGCATACTAGACCGAGATATCCGCATCATGTTCCGGCGGTGATGGAAAATTCTATCCGACCAACAGGTCTAGATCGCTTATACGCGCAGACTGTCGGGGGAATTATAGTGACCTTTCGGGTTCACGCTATTGTTCGTGACGTCATATTATGACGTTTTGGGGTCAGTCATGGTCATTGACGTCACTAACAATTGCCATCCGGGTTTCATATGCAAACGAGAAATGTGCGGACAGATTACAACTAGAAGCGCAGCTGTTTTTATGGGTTTTAGGTAATAAGCAAGAAATATAATCCATCCCTGATATGAGGTAAGGATGAGGTTATTCAAACCCTCGGGATAAAATATTGAGCAAAAGATCCTCGGCAAAGCCTCGTGTATCCTGCTCAATATTTTATCCCTTGGGTTTGAATAATTAATCTTACTCCATTTTTTGTGTGTAAAAACGTCATTGGCACATGACAAAATAAACGACGTTTTTATTCATTATTACTATAACAATAAGCTAACGTGTGTGTTGATCAACCGACACTTACGAAAATAGCAATAATATAATGCAAGGTCCCCTCACGGGAATAACGCGACACTATTTGCAAATTAGTTAAGCCCGTGGTTATATCGACAAAATGGTCTAATCACTCACATTGATTGTACGTCCACTTCTATTTACCGACCAGAACATTGATTTCGGGTCCACATTTGGCCAACATTACAATTCCGTCTTTGCGTATTGCAGAGTTATCTTGGGAGCAGGTATTGATTGTTACGTCACTTGTTTGTGAGAGTAACGTCATCAATTTTTGAGAAAACGACGTAATTTTCTCACACAAACCAATGACATAGCAATCAATACCTGCTCACAAGAGAAGATAACTCTGCAATACGCAAATTATATGACATTTACATTTACAAGTAGCACATAAAAACAGCAATGTAATGCAAAAAATAATCAAAATACAAACGCACTGAGAACCGTCAGGTTATGAAATAGTTGACAATACTGCGTGCTTCAACTTATATTGCACAATGGCCCGGAGATCTAGAATCATTATTGCTGTACCAGCACCACGCTGGCTTCCAATATTCTATATTCAGTTATTTAACTTGACGTTCCTTAATTCCATTCATTTAAGCAAATCAGTGTGAAAAAAATGGTGTTTTGAGAAGGATATATTGATATGCTTTATGATGTCAGCTGGATTGAAAAAAAACATCCGGAATGCTGGTTCACATCAACATTAAAGACAGACTAATTTCATGTCTTCTGACATGATATGTCCCTTCAAATAATGAGGCAATTTTGAATGAAAAAATACAACTGGATTTTTTTTTAAAGTAATTACATACAAGGAAAAAATCAGATAATTATTTAATATTAAAACAATATCAAAAAAGAAAGGACGAGAAACGAAAAAAAACCTGAACGGAAGATTAACAAGATGTAATCTTTTCAAAATATTTATGATATAACTTTAAAAAATATCAATAAATTGTTGTGCATCACGTAATTTGTTTTACTAATATTACCTGATATATATATTATAACATGAATGTTAAAATACATTGTTCGTGATGGAACAAATTAACACGTCACCCTGACCAGGGATGTCTCTGCTCTTGACCCATGGACACGATTGTTTACATGGAAAAAATATGTTTCATATGATGGCGTTATATAATAGGTAAAATATATGAATTACGTTGAATTAGGATTTTAAAACTGTCCATAAAAATGATGTGGTGTTGTGATACAGTAAGATCTATCTATTTGGTTTCCCTCCTTCATTTTAAAATGTAAAAACGGGAATTAAGAAATGAATTGAAACTACCAGAATATTCTATTTTTTTCAAATGCAATTTTGAAAACTGCAAATTCGATATATTTGTCCCGAGACATAAATTAAAGTGAGAGAAAAGGTCATATGTTAACTTAAATGCATTTTTAATTGGTTTACGTAAAAAAGACGCACTGCACTAGGCTTGAACCGGCGACTTCTGGATTAAAAACTTCTATTGTCAGTTTTTTCTCTCCTTCTCTTTGAAGAATGGGCAAAGGGAGGAAATCACAGCTAAACCTGAAGCAGCTGATGATGGTTCGTTAAATGTACGGATTGGTTTATTAACTCCTATATTTTTAAATCCTTTTATTTGTCTCATTTACATATGTTATAGCTTTTAACAACTTGCATTTTTGACCTACCGAGACATGATAGAAAGTGATATTAAATAACTGTGGTCGTTTTCCGTTTCGTTTCCATTTCGTTCCTAGATTTAGCTTTGCCGATCGCGGATTCGTTTCGGTTTCGTTTCAGGGAAGCAATATGGCGTCAAATGATGGGGAGATTGACGCTGAGCAAGCACTACAAGAACTTTTAGAAAAAAATGCCGAATCTATCGAAACAATGACATTACGGATAGTATTTTGCAATCCAATCGGAGGTGACCCATTCTCTGCAGCTGTCGTAACAACCCAAGAAAATCTGAGCGCATTATACAATTATCCGAGTCAGCGAACTAATCTATTTAAGTTCAAGCATGTTTGGGATGTCGAGAAACTACATAAACTTATAAACACGAAGAGAAGACAGGATAGTGACCAAGATAATTGCCCCAAAAGGATAAAACTTGAACATGAGTGCGAAGCTGCAGCATTCAGATTATTGGAGGCGTATCTGAAAGGTAAGAAAAGTTCGTTTCTATAAGACAGTATATGACTACACTATAGACCATGCACATCACATCATGTACACAACCATCTGCACTGTGTCAACTTTGAATTTGAAAAATTCTTCTCTGCCCTTCAATATTTATAAGACGTCACGGTGAAAGGCTCTGAAAATCAGAAGGAGGAAGTTACTGTAGCTTTGATTTAGCTTAAATTTCAGTTTAATCTTATAAATTAGTTAAATATATGCTTGTGTAGTAGGACGAGGAATAAAGATAAAGAAAGTGCTCTTGCAGGGGCTTGAACCCGCGACCCTTGCAACTGGCTCTCAAGCCGGATGCTCTACCGCTGAGCTAAAGGGAAATTTCCTGCAGCTGATGCTTGTAGGGCAACCAAATCAATGCACATCTTTTACACTTACTATTTATTTCCCCCCTTTTTCAATCACCAGCCCACGTTCTTTGATTCCTCGCCAAGTGTTCTCCTACCTCGAACGGGGAGGGTCAACGCCACCAATTTTTAGGAGGCCGAGGAATAGTGATAAAGAAAGTGCTGTTGCGCTCAAACCTGCGACCCCACAAGCCTTAATGGCTCTCCTGCCCGATGCTAGCAACTGCTGAGCTGAAGGGAAATTCCCTACAGCTGATGCTTGTAAGGCAACCTAATCAATGCACATCTTTTACGCATGTGTGGCTGATTTAATTGTGCATGGACTACAGTTCCCTTCTAGCTTCGCGCTAGAGGGAATATTCCTTTAGTTTCAGTGGTGTAGAGCATCTGGGATTGCGGGTTCGATCCCCAGCGGAATCACACTAACGTTAGAAATGGCGTCCTTGGCCGTCCCTGGGGTGACAGGGAGTTACAACCTGGGTTGTGGTGTGCAAGAGCAAACACATTTAAAAAAAGGGTAGTGTGGCAGATTTTAATTGTACATAGTATTACGGTAGCCTTCTAGCATTAAATTGCACTAGAGGGAATTTCCCTAAGCTCATGCAGTCAGGTAGCGCGTCCGACTATAGGAAGTCTTGGATGACGGATTTGATCCCCAGTGGAATCACTTCTCTCTTTCCTGTTACACATGGTTAAGCATGCAAAGTACAAGATGTCCCTGTTTAAAACATATTACATTAATGTAGTTGCTTCGACTGTGGCAATATGACATTCATTAAAAAAATTGCCATTGTCAAGCTATATACGTTGTAGCTCCAGATGTCTCAAGTGGAGAGAGAGATTTGTTTTGCACAAAACTTACTTCTAGTCCAGGACTAAAGCCGATGCAGTAATCCATACCACACAGTATGAAGGGAAACCGAAAAAAAAAAATGAACATTTTTTTTAAAAAATAAATCCCTCATAATTTACTGAGTTCTATTATACAGTATACAATTGTTTCATGGCTATTTGGGGAACAGTCGAAACTATCAGCCCGAGGTAGGGGGAAGCCCTGGCAAACAGTACCATAGGGCTTCCCCCTACCGAGGGATGGTAGTTTGGACTGTCCCCCAAATAACATTGAAACAATTGTTTTATTACCAAATACATATTAGTATCAATGCTACATGTAATAATGACTCACCATTGCATTGCTTTGTCTGCGTAAACAACACTAAGTCTCGGTCATCGAAACACTTGAACGGGGCTCTCGAGGGGGGATTTCTGCGCATCAAATTTGCGCTGGGTAACAGTTCACTTTGATCAGGAAAACAGTTTTGACTGTTCCACCCCCCCCCCCTACAGCCGAAATTGGACAAAAAGCCAGAAACAGTGAAAAATTACTAATTCTAATTTATATAGACAATTGGGTAATAACATATGCTGGGAGGACAGAATGATCATATGCTGTCATGAAGAAATGCTTAAATATGAAAGATAAACAGTCTATAAAATTTCATCCGTTTAAATCTGTTATAGTGGTTATCTGAATTTTTGCTAAAAATGATCTATCACTCTCTGTTGATGATTTTTTCCCAATTTCATCCCACGGTCCATTTCTCAAAACCCCTGATAAATCCCTGTGTCTTGGGGTAAAATATTGTTGCATCAAGAGAATTTTGAGAACCCGAACTTTTGTATTTCATTTGTACAATGTACCATGATCTTACAGGGATAATTATACAGTGTGTTCAAATTGGGGCATGCAGACTATAAAGGGGGCTATACCAAGGGGGCGGGGCTATACCAAGGGGTTAGAGCTGAACATAAGGCTTTGAAATTATCCAATTTGTACCCATTGCAGTTAAATTTAAAAATAATGTAGGTTGGTCAATATCATTATTTATTGGATTGGACTGCCATGGTGAACTTCTCTATCCCAAACATATTAAAATGTACCAGATGGTAACACAAAATAGAAACATATTAAATGGAGCTACAATATCTTTATATAGCAGGACTCCTTAGTGATTTGGCATTTTGATTGATATTTTGAATTTTTCTTTTCTTTTTAGATTTTGCCTATCACCATAAATGTCTTGAGAAGGTGCTATTCGGCAGCAATGATGTCATGGAATCATCTGCCAGTGCCACTATGGTTTTAAACACACATCTGTTTGGACCACTCAGCGACGGAAACTGCATTGTAGATAACCACATGTCGAGACAAGAACACTGTACTTGTAGCTGTGGATGTGGGAAAGAGATAAAAAGTGGAAATACAGGAATTGGTAGGAGTTTTTTCATCATCCGCTTTTTAGAGAAAACAGAGTACTAATTTTGCTTCATCTGTTTGTTTGACTGGCCCCTGTGTGTATACTGTCTATTACTGAGAGCCTGTCTGTCTGTCTGCCTGTCTGTCTGACTGCCCTGGCCCCTTGTGTGTACACAAGGGGCATATTTGTCTGACTGCCCCGGTACTAGGGGCCTATATGTCCGACTACCACGGCCCCCTGTGTGTACACTAGAGGCCTATCTGTGTGACTAACCCCAGCCCCCTGTATGTACAATAGAGGCCTATTTGTCTGACTGCCCCGCCCGCCTGTGTGTACACTAGGGGCCTATCTGTCTGACTGCCCGGCCCCCTGTATGTACACTATAGAGGCCTATCTGTGTGACTACCCCAGCCCCCTGTGTGTACAATAGAGGCCTATTTGTCTGACTGCCCCGCCCGCCTGTGTGAACACTAGGGGCCTATCTGTCTGACTGCCCCGCCCGCCTGTATGTACAATAGGGGCCTATCTGTCTGACTGCCCCGCCCGCCTGTGTGTACAATAGGGGCCTATCTGTCTGACTGCCCTGGTACCTGTGTGTATACGGAGGGCATCACTGCAGTAGTCAGACTTTTGGCTTTTTGGGAACATGTCCAGTAAATTTGCAGCTGTGAGGGGCCATAGATGCCCTTCTCTTATAAGTGTAATCCTGAGGCGGGTGTGTGCCTCCATGTGAAAAAAAGAGAAGAAAATATAGGTGTAGGATGAGGTTACATTTCTGCATAAAATTGGTTAAAAAATCAAGTTTTGCCATTTTTTAAAAATATGCAGAAATTTTATCTCTATATCGCCTGCGTTGCAATGCGACATATAGGAGTCTCTCTGTTGCTATTGTCTTCAGCTGGTTGCATCCTCCACATGAAGTTTGCCATGTGATAACTTGATTTGTCTTTGGTCGATCTAACTGAAGTTTTATACAGATCTTTTGTATTTAAATTGCCCTTAGTCAGTGGTACGTGGTCTGCCCATCGGTCCATCCGTCATCTGTCCTTAAACAATTTCTTGTTATCAGTATGTCTTAGAAAATACTAGAGACATATTTCACAAACTTGATATGTAAGTTCCCCTTGGTCCCTAGTTGTGCATATTAACTTTGGGTACTGGGTGTAAAAACAAAATGGCCAACAGGTGGCCATCTTATATTTTTTGACAGTTAAGACTTTTAATGTGTATTTCACAGATTGTATTGAAAATATCTTTCTCAAATTTGATATGTAGGTTCCCCTTTATATGTAGGTTACAAGTGCATGTTTAATTTTGAGACTGATTGGGAAAAATAAAATGGCTGAAAGGTGGCCATCTTTGATTTTGACAGTTAAGTTTTGTTTAAAAACTCTATAATTATCTCAAAAAAAAAAATGGAGTGATGTTTCTTAAATAATTTTAAATGTTTGGTCCCCTTGTTAAAATATCCCTGGCCCTAATGATAATTCAAACCTCATTAACAGCACCTCTTATATGAAAGAATTATAAATTTTCAGCATTTTGCATATCAGTATGCATTTCTTATGAAATAACATATGACATTATGAGATCAAGTTGCCATTGAAAAGAGGTAATTGTATGATAGACCAAAGTACAGTGGAACAGGATTGGATCCTTGATAATACTTTATTTATATTCTTCTACAGGAGTGTCTTCTACTTGGCATGGCTTTGTAGATATGATTGTGAAAGAACATCTCCCTGTGACTATTTCGGATATGGAGGAGCCCAGCATGGATGAAGATACAACAGAGGAACAGGATGAGGGGCAAGAAGAAATGGAGAAAGACACTAATACATTTTGTGTGCATGATAAACAAAAATCTGTTACCAGTCGGCTGATTGCTGAAACCATTACAAATGCCTTTGCACAGGTTAATACAAATGATAGCCTTGCCGGTCTGCCAATACCAACCTTTGGTTGTGCCCCTCGTCAAATTTCTGTGTACTTATACGACTGTAAAAACGATGTTCTTTTAAAAAAGACTCTACCTTTACATCTCTTCAAAAGAAAGGATAGTGCCTCTGCTGTGGTCATGCTATGGCTGTACATGAATTTCCAATTGTTTATGAAAAGAGATGTTACTGACATCGAGGCACACTCTGATCTCTCTGATTTTCAGGCTCAATTTTGTTCGTCTGATGCGAACATACAGGAAATCTATGCAAAAGTGAAATCTGGGTTTACAGGGTGCGCACATCCTGATCAGCCATCACTGACTAGTGTAGTGAGAACAGACGAAGCGTTCGTAGTGTAAGTTTGGAGAACTGATATGTCGACTTAGAAAAACACAAATATTGTCTGGAATATTTAGAGGTTATCAGATGCCCCTCTCCATATCCTACTCGGTATTAGCCTGAACACTCCCATATCAGCCTGAGTGGCCGCAGGTTTGAGGGCTGCTATTGGTCAAGGGCTGATGAGGAGCAGGATATAAAGATATGGTCATACAGTAACCTTTTAATCATATATTGCTCTGTAACATCAACAGTTTTGCAATAACACATAAAACTCACAGGAAACTTATACTTCATGTGCTTAATACTTAATCTCATTCTACCTTAAATAAAACACACTGGACAAAATAGCAAATACATATGTATAAACAGTGTGTACTCTACCAGTTTGAGGTGTGATTTTTCTGAAAAAGTGTTCAACCAGAAGTTCAATTGATTTGGCAATGCCAAGTGGATATAGCGCATGCTAGGCAGATTTGGTGCATACTGGGAAGATATGGGATGATCCAGGATATGGCCTGTGCATAGCTAACAATATCACACATGCAAAAACTACATGGATCACTCTGGCATTAGAACATGTGTATGATTAACTGTATTATTCTCTTAACTTTACACTCAGTTTTATACAATGTTCAGTTGTCAGCCATACTTTACCTCAGTTGTCTTCAGTGTTCAGTTGTCAGCAATATTTTATTCTCCATTTCTTGTACTTAACCCTCAGTTGTCTTCAATATGAAGCTATCAGTGATATGTATATCTTTATACTTGACCTTCAGTTGTCTTCAGTGTTAATTTGTCAGCGATTTTTGTATTCTCCATTTCTTGTACTTGACCCTCACTTGCCTTCAATATTAAGCTATCAGTGATATTTATATATTTATACTTGACCTTCAGTTGTCTTCAATATTCCCTTGTTGGCAATACTTTATTCTCCATACTTTCTGGAACAGTTGTCTTCAATATTCCCTTGCGGCAATACGTTATTCTCCATAATTTCGTGAACAGTTGTCTTCCATATTCCCTTGTTGGCAATACTTTATTCTCCATTCTTTCTGGATCAGTTGTCTTCAATATTCCCTTGTCGGCAATACTTTATTCTCCATTCCTTACACTGTGTTGTCTCCAATGTTAAGCTGTCTTCAATATTCCCTTGTTGGCAATACTTTATTCTCCATACTTTCTGGAACAGTTGTCTTCAATATTCCCTTGCGGCAATACGTTATTCTCCATAATTTCGTGAACAGTTGTCTTCCATATTCCCTTGTTGGCAACACTTTATTCCCCATACTTTCTGGATCAGTTGTCTTCAATATTCCCTTGTCGGCAATACGTTATTCACCATACTTTCTGGAACAGTTGTCTTCAGTATTCCCTTGTTGGCAATACTTTATTCTCCATACTTTCTGGAACAGTTGTTTTCAATAATCCCTTGTCGGCAATACGTTATTCTCCATACTTTCTGGAACAGTTGTCTTCAATATTCCCTTGTCGGCAATACGTTATTCCCCATACTTTCTGGAACAGTTGTCTTCAATATTCCCTTGTTGGCAATACTTTATTCTCCATACTTTCTGGAACAGTTGTCTTCAATATTTCCTTGTCGGCAATACGTTATTCTCCATACTTTCGTGAACAGTTGTCTTCCATATTCCCTTGTTGGCAATACTTTATTCTCCATCCTTTCTGGAACAGTTGTCTTCAATATTTCCTTGTCGGCAATACGTTATTCTCCATACTTTCTGGAACAGTTGTCTTCAATATTCCCTTGTCGGCAATACTTACTTCTCCATTCCTTACACTGTGTTGTCTCCAATGTTAAGCTGTCAGAGATGTGTTTATGCTCCATACCTGACACTTTAAATCAAATAAAAATTCAGCAAATTATGCATAATTAATTACAACATATGCAAGTGCATTAAACATTTTGTGGATTTCGGGGCAGCTATTAACTCATTCACCCCTGAAATTTCATAATGAACTATTCCAACCATTGAATCGGAAGAGTTCAAATGTGTCTTCAGGGGTGAATGAGTTAAGAGTACATTTTATAATATGTAGGCGTGAATTATCAGCTTGCTGGATTAAGTAAGGTCAAACTTGAGATTTCATAAAATCAGGCCCTACTTGTATAAAACATAGCAACTTTTGGGACTTCCCCCGGTCTAAGATTTCTCGTTGGCAGTACATTGCTTGAGATTTCCTCAAGTCTAAGAGCTCCCATAGACATGCAATGCTTGAGATTTTCCTCCACTTTGAGATGTTGTATACGAGTGGCCCCAGTTGTGCTTTTGTTATTGCACTGCATAGTTTATTGGATAACTTTTGTACTTCCCGCAACAGAGTTTGGTGAGGGTGGAGGGTATATTGGACTCACCCTGTCTGGCAGTCTGACATCCTCGATACTCCAGGGGTTACGTTCACTTTCGCTCTCTGCACCCCTGGAATATGTCATAGCAAAATTGAATGCAAGTGACAAGCTTTTTGATTGGTCTTGGGTAAAAAAAAAAACTGACCAATCTCTAAGGCTGATATCTGTTCTTTGAAGATTACAGAAAAGCAATATCCAACTTCAAATCAAGTTCATTTTATCCTTATGCGACGGACAGATTCTTTTGATGTACGTCAAAGGATCAAACCTTTCTTCTCGTCTCATACATAAGGTGGCGCACACTGAGCCTTCCATTTTGCTATGACATATTCCAGGTGTGTAGAGAGCAAAAGTGAGCGTAACCCCTGGAGTATCGAGGATGGCAGTCTGACCGCCTGTATGTAATATTGAGTCAAGTGTATTTCAAAAAGTACTGAAGTGATTTTTCAGACTAGGTAAACTACTCTTTATTAAATGACGTGGTGCTCTTTCTTCTGTGGTTTAATTTGGACAAACTTTCTAAGAGGTTTGCCACTTTTATATAACTTCTCATCCAGAATATTATGTCAAGTATATTTCAAAAGTTTCTCAGAGTTATGCCCCTTTTCAATTACTTCTGTCCAGATTATTTTGTCAACACATCTACAGTGAATATCTTTGAAGTACTGAATTCAAAAATGTATGAAAGCCCCTACAAAGAGGATACTAAGGTGTACATGAATACGTTATCTGTCCGCCTGTCTGTTGACACAATTTTGTCCACACAATTCCTCCTACTATTTTCAGCCAAATTTCTTGAAAGTTCACTGATGTAATCAACACACTCTGAAGTTGTGCGCTTGCGATTAAAACTTTGATCTGTTAATTTTTATAGGAGTTATGCCCCTTTATAAAACATGTTCGCCAAAATGTTGTCCAATGCATATCATCTAAACCATTTCAACTGGAATAACCAGATTTTGTATGCAAATGCATCTTGGGATTGATGAGTGTCAGATACAAGAAGTAGGTCACTGTGACCTATAGTTTGACTTTTTTACCTCAATCTTAGAGTCACTGTGTCCTATGATTTGACCTTTAACCTCAACCTTAGACAAAAAAGTGTCTCGTGCATATCTTCGGCATTGTAAACTATTTCACCTGGAGTAACCTTATTTTTGTATAAAGGTTCATCTTGTGATGGCGAGGTGCAAGAACAAGAAATATGTCACAGTGACCTATGCTCTGACCTTTGAGTTCAACCCTTTGAAACAGTTTGCCATGGTCATATCTTCTACAATATTTCACTTTGAGTAACTACATGTGGTATGCAAGTGTACATCTTGGGTGAATGAATCTGGCTTTCTGGTGTCAGTTTTAGTTTAACATATTGTGGATATTTGAATTTCTGTTTGTTTACTTTGATGACAAGAATTTGTAACAAAGCATGAGATGGATATGTAAATAAATAAATATTGACAATTGTTTGCAGATTATTTTTTTATTCATTAAAAGACATTAAGGAACAAAACTGGACTCAATTTCTGACTAATTAAACAAGGAGCTCTCTAGACAGCACCCACAAATAACTACAGATAACGCGTAAAATCTACATTAATTCTAGTTGAAGCGTGATGATATAAATGTAGATATACATTCATTATAATTGACGCGTGATGACATACNGATATATATTCATTCTGATTGACGCTTGGTGACATAAATGTAAATATATACATTCATTCTAATTGACGCGTGATGACATAAATGTAGATATATATTCATTCTAATTGACTCGTGATGACAAATGTAGATATATATTCATTCTAATTGACGCATGGTGACAGAAATGTAGATATATATTCATTCTAATCGACGCGTGATGACATAAATGTAGATATACATTCATTCTAATTGACGCGTGATGACATACATGTAGATATATATTCATTCTAATTGCGCGTGATAACATAAATGTAGATATAAATTCATTCTAATTGACGCATGATGTCATAAATGTAGATATACATTAATTTTAATTGACGCGAGGTGACATAAATGTAGATATACATTCATTTTAATTGACGCGTGATGACATAAATGTAGATATACATTCATTCTAATTGACGCGTGATGACATAAATGTAGATATACATTCATTCTAATTGACGCGTGATGACATAAATGTAGATATACATTCATTCTAATTGACGCGTGATGACATAAATGTAGATATACATTCATTCTAATTGACGCGTGATGACATAAATGTAGATATACATTCATTCTAATTGACGCGTGATGACATAAATGTAGATATACATTCATTCTAATTGACGCGTGATGACATAAATGTAGATATACATTCATTCTAATTGACGCGTGATGACATAAATGTAGATATACATTCATTCTAATTGACGCGTGATGACATAAATGTAGATATACATTCATTCTAATTGACGCGTGATGACACAAATGTAGATATACATTCATTCTAATTGACGCGTGATGACATAAATGTAGATATACATTCATTCTAATTGACGCGTGATGACACAAATGTAGATATACATTCATTCTAATTGACGCGTGATGACATAAATGTAGATATACATTCATTCTAATTGACGCGTGATGACATAAATGTAGATATACATTCATTCTAATTGACGCGTGATGACATAAATGTAGATATACATTCATTCTAATTGACGCGTGATGACACAAATGTAGATATACATTCATTCTAATTGACGCGTGATGACATAAATGTAGATATATATTCATTCTAATTGACGCGTGATGACATAAATGTAGATATACATTCATTCTAATTGACGCGTGATGACATAAATGTAGATATACATTCATTCTAATTGACGCGTGATGACATAAATGTAGATATATATTCATTCTAATTGACGCGTGATGACATAAATGTAGATATACATTCATTCTAATTGACGCGTGATGACATAAATGTAGATATACATTCATTCTAATTGACGCGTGATGACATAAATGTAGATATATATTCATTCTAATTGACGCGTGATGACATAAATGTAGATATACATTCATTCTAATTGACGCGTGATGACATAAATGTAGATATACATTCATTCTAATTGACGCGTGATGACATAAATGTAGATATATATTCATTCTAATTGACGCGTGATGACATAAATGTAGATATACATTCATTCTAATTGACGCGTGATGACATAAATGTAGATATATATTCATTCTAATTGACGCGTGATGACATAAATGTAGATATACATTCATTCTAATTGACGCGTGATGACATAAATGTAGATATACATTCATTCTAATTGACGCGTGATGACATAAATGTAGATATATATTCATTCTAATTGACGCGTGATGACATAAATGTAGATATACATTCATTCTAATTGACGCGTGATGACATAAATGTAGATATACATTCATTCTAATTGACGCGTGATGACATAAATGTAGATATACATTCATTCTAATTGACGCGTGATGACATAAATGTAGATATACATTCATTCTAATTGACGCGTGATGACATAAATGTAGATATACATTCATTCTAATTGACGCGTGATGACATAAATGTAGATATACATTCATTCTAATTGACGCGTGATGACATAAATGTAGATATACATTCATTCTAATTGACGCGTGATGACATAAATGTAGATATACATTCATTCTAATTGACGCGTGATGACATAAATGTAGATATACATTCATTCTAATTGACGCGTGGTGACATACATGTAGATATATATTCATTCTGATTGACGCTTGGTGACATAAATGTAAATATATACATTCATTCTAATTGACGCGTGATGACATAAATGTAGATATATATTCATTCTAATTGACTCGTGAAGACATAAATGTAGATATATATTCATTCTAATTGACGCATGGTGACAGAAATGTAAATATATATTCATTCTAATTGACGCGTGATGACATAAATGTAGATATACATTCATTCTAATTGACGCGTGATGACATACATGTAGATATATATTCATTCTAATTGACGTATGATGACATACATGTAGATATACATTCATTCTAATGTGTCATAAATGTTAATATATACATTCATTCTAATTGATGTGGGATGACATACGTAATTATCCTCAATACGATATTCTAAACATTTTAACAACAGTTCTTCATGCCATGCTTCGTCAAATGCCTTAGAAAAATTGCGAAATATAAATCACGATTTTTCTTTCCTGTCAAATGCAGAATCATGGTTATGAAAAGCACTCAGCTGGTTAACTGTCGAATGACCTGAACGAAATCCAGATTGATTGATACAAAAAATATTATTTTCCTTTCAAAATGACATGTTTTAAAATCGCGATCCATTATTTTTGAAACGTAAGTTAAATTAAGAAATAGGTCGGATAACTACTGGAAAACGATAATAATATTCCTTTGAAATTAAAGGGGACATGGAAGTAACCAACATTGATCTGCTGCCCCTATTTCAATATTTGGGATCTTTTTCGTTTCATATCTTTCCTTTCTCTCTACTTTCCGTTTCTGTTTCCCTAGGCAACCGTCCTTATGACCCTGGTTTATTGCGAGGACATCAAACCCGAGGCAAACTATATTTTGTTGAAAATCAAAATAATCGACCCTTTTTTCCTCAATTCAATGCAAATCTGGATTTACAGGATTTCGGAAGCTAACAGAATCAATGCTAAGCTATTTAAAATGTCTATTATCGGTCGTCAGTCTAAACAAGTCGGACAGTTTCCATCGTCAGGTTGATATAACAGGGATGCCAACCAATGTCATCTCTTAGAGCCAAAACGGTTTTCTATAAAGAACCTAAACAACCCGCAGGCTTTGTTTTGATAAATAAACACCCACCTCTTTGTACCTGTTCATACCCTATATTCGATTATCAAAACACTACGGGATCAATAAAAGACTTGTAAAGTATACAGAAAACATTATTAGTCATTCCATAAGATCAGTGTACTTTTCATGCTAGACAATTTGCAGCTGTTTTGTTTTTACAAGGTTCATTGATTGAATAATGAAAGTTTGTTATACTAGTCCGTCAAAATTACCGGTGCAT